TTACTTATATAAATTACCTAATAAAGATATGAGCAAGGCCTCACCTTAACACCAAAAAAAAAAAAAAAAAAAAAAAAAAAAAAGTTATATAACTTTTTGTTATATAACAAATACTTTAGTCCAATTTTGTTATTAATTTTACTCAGCCTCATCTTATTCTTTATTAGCTACTTATAGCTCCTTATGCTACAAATAATTTGCCTTTACATATATCATGCTGTTACAGAACTAATATCTTAGAGTTCTACTCTATCTAGACTTGTATGCAAGATGATTAAATCTCTTTCTTCATTTTCTTTACATTCTTAAGCCACTTTTACTAGATCTCTAAAATCATCATTGTACATTTTTAATAGGACAAAAGAAGTAATACATCTTGCTACTAGAAGATTTATAAATTCTCATATTTTATATAACTCATAGATTTATTTAGCTATTCTAATAATAGTTTGACACTTTGTACTATTAAAATAGAAATCAATAATATCATCTGCTAAAGGTTTTAATTACTCATTTTTCAAATTTTTCAATAAGAATCCCAAATAGAAATAATACTGCAAAGAAACAACTGGATCAATAGATAAATAAGCTAATTAATCATATATGTAGTTTAATTGTTCTTCAGTACTTTCGTTAATAATTTTTAAAGGGTTTTAAACAAGCATTTTATTATTCTTTAAATTATTAATATAGAGAGATATTTGTAAACATATCCTCTGGAAATCATTTATACACTTTGGGGTTGTTTCTTTACCAACACAAGGAGCAACTGGTTCACAGTATATGATTTCATGTGCTAAGATTCTAAAAGTTCACGAATATTAACTTCTTGAATTTGATGCTCTAAAAAGTTCTAAAATTTGGACAACAAATGACAAAATTGAAGAAGAGCTTATGACGATAATTGAATAATAAAGTTTTAAACTTTAGGAATATAAGATAAAATAAGCATTACTTTATTTCAAATTTAATATATAGTAGTTTGTTTTAACAAAAATTTTAATTTGTAGCAAAATGAATTTTTATTGTTAAATATTTTGTATGTCTTTCTCTAAAAACAAAAAGGTTTTTTTATATTTTATATTTATATATGGAACAAAAATTATCACTTTCTCCTCTTATTTATCTATAATGCTTGTCATATAACTTTGTCTAATACAACAAATACTTAAGCCTGATTTTACTATTAACTCTTACTAAGTCTCATCCTGGTCTTTATACACCATCTACAATACCTTTTATATATATTTAGAACCACATATCACAGTATATACTATTACATTTAACGAATAATAGTTTGCTAATTGTATTTGGACTTAACTGGTTTTTTAATAGTAACTTGATTTTCTGCATTAGAAAAATAACATTTGTATGAAATGGATGTAGCAGGAATCGACAGATATTTGCATGTCATTCTACTCAAAATAGAGAAAATACATTGATTAATATATCACTATTAATAAACATCAGTATTTTCAGGCAGAACTAGTGTAATCATTTTATTTAAATAATTATCAATTTCAATTTTATGATTTATTTTACTATACACATCACTAAAAATTTTCTTCATAAATAAGGGAGTAGATAGTGATTGTGTTTATTTAGCATGCTCTGATGGCTTATTAACTATAGCTTCTCAGGTTTTAAATTCGGTACGTAGTTTAACAATTGTTCTATTTTGTAATTCTTCAGACAATATATTTAATAATTTGAATTTTGGATCCAATACAGTAGCAATCATCTTAATACTCTCCGAATCATACCAATAATCAAAAAGAGAATTATAAATAACTCTCTGAATCTTGGGAATTATATGTTCAGTTGAAAACAACTTTTGGTGATTGGCTTTGCTTTGAAGTTGATGTTTATGTATAGTTTGCTGTTGGTTAGCCATGTCATCTTCAGAGGTTTCATCATAACTATTATCATTATCATTAGATGTTTCACCTGAAATTAACAAGAAATTAAGTTTTTTTTAATTTATAAAATCATTAAGTGCCATTAAGAGAAAATAGGACTTTGGTTTATTATTCATTACAGTATTATTTAAATAAATATAAATAATAAACCAAAGTTCTATTTTTCTTTGGCAATTTTATTTAACTAATTATATTTACTTTCATCAATCCAATTATCATAAGTAATTTCTTCTGCTTCTAATATAGATCTACTTGCAAATTCAACTTTCAACACTATAATACTTAGATTAACAACTAATAGAGTAGTATATTTGACTCTACTAAAGTAAGTTGTTAGCTCATCAAATAGTTTGAGCAATTTTATAATTTCTTTTAATAATTTCCATTCATTATCTTTAAGCATACAATTATTTAATTTATTAAAATCTTTCTTAGCACTGTTCTTATTTTGCAAGTGCAAGGTAGCTGAAAGCCATTCAATTGCCTGGTATAATGCTATAAACCTCTTCTATAAATGATAAGATAAGTTCTGATATGTATTTGTATTATTAATAGTATGCAAAATTTTTAATTCATCAGATACTTCTAAATTATTATCCTCAATTTTTTCTTTAAATAGAGTTTCAAATAGACTTTTAGAATCATGTAGTTGAATAGGTTTTAGATTTGCTTTGCCATATTGGGCTAGATCAACTTGTACTTGATCAAGTTATTGGCTTTGTTTAGAAGACTGGAAAAACTTGACAAGTTGGCATATTTGTTTAGTATATAGTCTAATCATTTTTAAGGCTTTGGTTACTGTAAGCTGAAGTGTATACATAGAGCAAAGAAGGAATTCTATACTATTTCAAATTCTAATTGATTTCTTTATATTTGCTCTGTTATCTGTTATTACATATACTATTTTTTTAATAATTCAAATTCTTCAATTTTTGTAACTAAATACTCATAAATTCATTTACCTATATGTGGATATTCTATTAGCTCAATTACTAATATTACATCAAATACTTTAAAATTTGGAGCTAACCAGTGAAGAGTTACTTTAATATATTCTTTGTTATTATAGGCTATTTATAAGTCTATTATTATAAAAGCTGTTTCACACAGTGTTTAAAATTCAATGTTCTCATAGTTCTTAATAAACATTTGAGTTATTTTAAGAACACTGATATTAAGAAAATGTTCTCTTATTTGAGAACATTTTATCCTCTTGAAATGTTCTCAAAGAAAATATTTATAAAATTTTTATATTCTGGATTTACTAATGAGAACAATAAATTATATAAAATGTTCATCAATTTTGTTAATATATTAAACTATTAAAACTTAATTTGTGATCTGCCTAAGAACCAGTGACAAAATATAGTAAAAAGTGGGGATATGTTTATTACATAAATTTTGCCTTTTTTGAAATTTGAGTTTTCCAAAAAAATCTTTTTTCTTTACTAAGTAAATATCTTTTCAAGTTTTATGTAAAGTTGTAGAGGAGTTTCTTGCGATCAAAATGACGGTTAAATCATTAAAATCGGCCTAGTGGATCGCGAGATATAAGTACTTTAGTC